TGTGTGTGTGTGTGTGTGATGTGTCGTGTGTGTGGTGTGTGGTGAATGTGTGTGTGTGTGTGTGATTGTGTGTGAATGTGTGTGTGTGTGTGTGTGTGTGTGTGTGTGTGTGTGTGTGTGTGTGTGTGTGTGTGTGTGTGTACCTCTTTAGCCCTCAGCCTCTCGTTGTCCATGTTGACGTCGAGCTGAGGACGGATCTTGCAGAAGAGTTTCCACCAGCTCCACTCAGAGACGAACCACAGCGCTCTGAGGTTCCTCTGCAGACAGCTGATCGCCATCTGCTGCACCTGGATCAGATATTACATCACACAAAACGTCAGGAGGATTCCTCGGTGTAGAAAAAGAGACATTTTAAAGTTCACCTATCATGCTATTTTTAGGCATATATTATGGGTCTCAGATATATCAAAATATATCAAAAACACGTCTATGATGTGTTTTGCTCAAAATACAAACAGATCATGCATTTTAGAAATCCCTCATATCCCTCTATTTCAGCCTGTTGCTAAAGTGCTGATTCTGGGTCAGTACTGTAGCTGTTGGCCCCGCCCCCTTTTGAGCTTCTCACCTTGAGTTTGCGGTACTTCTGTCGGGCCAGGTGAGCCATGCAGGCGGCCTGCAGGTGGAGCAGCCAGCCGCTCACCTGCTGGTCCCTCTGGAGCTCCAGGTACCGCAGCACACCACGCTTCATAAACACCTGGAGGAGAGGAAGAGGGAGGAGGAGGACGAGGAGGACGAGGAGGAAGAAGAAGAAGGGCTTTTAATGTGATATATATGGACCCACTGATTCCACTCAGCCCTTCAAAATAAAGGCCCCACATAGTATCCTTAATTGAAGCTTGGGAAAAATTATGTTTTTCAGAATAAAAGCCCCACACAGTAAATGTATCCTTAATTGAAGCTCAGGAAGAGGCATGATTTCAAAGTAAAAGCCCCATAGAGTAGCTGAATCCTACCATGAAGCTAAGGATGACAAATGTTTTTTCAAAATAAAAGACTGTTAGAGGACCTGTATCCTAACAGGAAGCACAGGATGAGACATGTCTTACCAAAATAAAAGCCCAGAGAGTAACTGTTTCTTTTATTGAATCTCAGGATGGCACTTGTTTTTCAAAATAAAAGACCACTATAGAAACTTTGTCCTAACACAAGGTTTCAGAAGAGGAATATTTTCACAATAAAAGACCAATAAAGTAACTGTAATCTTAATTGAAGCTAGAGAAAAATTATGTTTTTCAAAATAAAAGCCCCACAGAGTAACGGTATCCTATCATGAATCGTAGGAAGAGGCATCTTTTAAAAAATAAAATACATATCATTGAACTGTATCTTTAATAAAAGCTAGGTGAGAGGCATGTTTTTCAAAAATAAAAGACCCACAGAGTAACGGTATCCTGACAGGACGCTCAGAATGATGCATGCTTTTCAGAATAAAAGCCCTCACCCTGCTGGAGCCCATCACGATGCTCTTCTTGTCCAGATCCAGCTCACAGAGCAGCTCCTCCACCGCCTTAAAGAGAGAGAGGAGGTCATTACTATTTATCGTCTTGTTATTTATTCTCCACTGTGTTTGTGTGAACATCTGTGACTCTGACCTTCCTCTCGTCGTGGTTCACGAACATGGAGGCGTAGCGTTTCATTATCGGAGGCGACAGAGCCTGGAAGTGACACCTGAAGTCGCTCAGAGTCATGTGCTCCGGGTAGCCTGAGAGAAAGTTCATTGTAGAGTATTTAAAAAGACTATAACACTGTTAAATGCATATAAGGGACCTCGCTTTTAACAACCTCAGAGGATTCCCACATATCTGAGTCTGAAGTCACAAAACACTTTTAAATGAAAGAGACTCAAAGAGGGAGAGTAAAGATTAAACACAGGACAGGACTAATGGAATAAAGGTGATATGTGACACTAAATCAAGGTGAGAAATGATCGTATCCTGCAGAAACGTTGCTATAGTCACAGTAAAGTGTGTGTGTGTGTGTGAGAGTATGGTGGTGAGGTGTGGTGTGTGTGTGTGTAGTGTGTGTGTGTGTGTGTGTGTGTGTGTAGTGTGTGTGTGTGTGTGTGTTGTGTGTGTGTGGTGTGTAGTGTGTGTGTGTGTGTGCGTGTGTGCGTGTGTGCGTGTGTGCGTGTGTGCGTGCGCGTGCGTGCGTGCGTGCGTGCGTGCGTGCGTGCGTGTGTGTGCAGACCTGTGCGGTGCAGCTGCAGCGCGGACAGGATCTGGGTGGAGTTCAGCTGGACTCGGAGAGAAGGAACATCAAAAGCTCCAGCTTCTACTTTAGCACCGACGCACTGAAGGAAGACGGGGCGCGCTCTACGGATCAGGTTCACCAGAGCGTCCTGCAGGCGGGAAGAAGACACACCATGAGGGAGGGAGGATGCTCCAGGAGGAACAGAAATACAGACGGGTTTTTATTTAAAGGGGACCTATCATGCAAAATGCACTTTCGTACGTCTTTTCTCCATGAATATGTGTCCCCGGTGTTCCAGGGAACTCACCAAGTGTCAGAAAACACCTCTCTATTTTCCTCCATACCCAAATCTCTAAAAAAGGGGCTGCAACGGATCTGATAAAAACTGATCCAGATTTGAACACTGTCCTGACGTCAGGACGGTGGCGCTACGGCTATTGGGCCAACTCCACCAATCAGGAGGAGACAGCCACGGCCATTGCCTTTCGAAAGCGCTGGAGATGCTGTAGTACATATGCCAGGCCTGTAGATGGTGCTGTTCTCACTGAATCAGCCCTTGCTAAAACAGAGCTAACATTTTTCAAATTGAGCAAAATGAGGCATGGCTAAAATGCATGATCTGTTTGGTATTTTGAAAAAAAAAAAGTATAAATATGCCTTATATAGGTATGGTCCTACACTATATTATTCAAATATAGCATGATAGGTCCACTTTAAATTGCGATAGGTAAAGGAAATGTGTTTAAATATATGATATATGTACTGAGATCTTTAAAGTAGATGTGTACCTTTTTTGTCAATGTGTACAAAGATTTGTTTACGTGGAGTATTACATATGTTTATTTGTAAATGTGTAATATTATTTGTTTTACATACACTTCTACTTTACGTACACTTTTATTTTCAAGTGTGTACTTTTATTTGTAAATGTGTACTGACAGTTGTTTATTTGACTTGAGATTGACTTTCACTGAATGTTAACATTAATCTGAATGCACATTTGCAGATTTCTGTACGTCTATACAGTAATACTCAAATACAGTCCAAGAAGCTGAAATATGGACTTCTAGTACTTGAATAAATACACTTTACTCACGGCCTGCAGTTTGACGGCGATGCTCTGGGAGTGGCGTCTGATGGCGGCCATCCCTCCGCTGAACGTTTTCCGGATGGTTCCGTTCCTCTGCAGCGAGCGCTGACTCGAGCCCTCGAGACCCGCCATGCCCCGACAGAGAGGGGGCACCGAGACCCGGGGGGTGAACAGGGCCTTCACTGCCCCTCTGAGGAGGAGGAAGAGATATTACACTGAGAGGTGAGAAAGCAGGGTATTTACTCATGTGCAAACATTAAAATAACATTTCACTGTAAATTCATGAACAAATGACGTAGTAATCGTATAAACTGCATCCACTTCAACATGAACACTTGATAAAGTGTCCTGCTCTACATCTGAAGTAAACTGCAGACGGCTGTGTTTACTTACTTGTATGTATTTAGTATTTTATGGGGATATTAGCACGCAGATATGTAACACACACAGATATGTAACACACACAGATATGTAACACACACATCTGTAACACACACACATCTGTAACACACACATCTGTAACACACACACATCTGTAACACACACACATCTGTAACACACACATCTGTAATACACACATCTGTAACACACACAGATCTGTACCACACACAGATCTGTAACACACACACATCTGTAACGCACACAGATCAGTAACACACACAGATCAGTAACACACATAGATCAGTAACACACAGATTAGTAACACACAGATCAGTAACAAACACAGATCAGTAACACACAGATCAGTAACACACACAGATCAGTAACACACACAGATCAGTAACACACACAGATCAGTAACACACAGATCTGTAACACACAGATCAGTAACACACACAGATCAGTAGAACCACACACAGATCAAGTAACACACCCAAGATCAGTAACACACAACCAGATCCGTAACCACACACAGATATTAACCACACAGATCAGAGTACACACATCACAGATCAGTAACACACAGATCAGTAACACCCCAACAGATCAGTAACACCACAGATCAGTTAACACACCAGTCAGTAACACACCACAGATCAGTACACACACACAGATTCAGTAACACACAGATCAGTACACCACACACAGATCAGTAACACCACCAGATCAGTAACACACAGATCTGTTAACACCCAGGATCTGCTAACACACACAGATCAGTAACACACACAGATCAGTAACACACAGATCAGTAACACACACAGATCTGTAACACACAGATCAGTAACACACAGATCAGTAACACACAGATCAGTAACACACAGATCAGTAACACACAGATCAGTAACACACACAGATCTGTAACACACACAGATCAGTAACACACACAGATCAGTAACACACACAGATCTGTAACACACACAGATCAGTAACACACACAGATCAGTAACACACACAGATCAGTAACACACACAGATCAGTAACACACACAGATCTGTAACACACACAGATCAGTAACACACACAGATCTGTAACACACACAGATCAGTAACACACACAGATCAGTAACACACACAGATCTGTAACACACACAGATCAGTAACACACAGATCAGTAACACACAGATCAGTAACACACACAGATCTGTAACACACACAGATCAGTAACACACACAAATCTGTAACACACAGATCTGTAACACACACATCTGTAACACACACAGATCAGTAACACACACTCACAGGGTGGAGTTCTGCAGCACACCGAGTGCATTCTG